TCATCAGGTTTGTCAAATAATATAAGTTGTTACGTACAACAGGTAAAATCAGATACATTACCAAATTACCCTGCTTTGGCAAGGAGGGCAAGGTAGAAATTAAATAAATAAAATAAAGTAAAAATAAAAACAAAAATATTATATATTTCAGATATAGAAGCAGACACTAAAGAATAAATTAGAACTTTCCTAAGGTTAACGATAATCTATTAACGATAAAAGAAATTACATCTTTAACAACTGAACAAACCTCTATGCTAAAATTGAATCACTGTAAAATCCTTAATATTGTCTTAATTGTTTATCTAAATCTAATTATATTCTTACGAATTATTTAATTACTAGTGGAATACAGAATGAAGTATTAGAACTATAATCAATACCTTCATTATCTTTAATACGATACGCAAGTTATTCCAGAACTTAAAAAAAAAATTAATCCCATAGTATGTGTAATAAGCTTGCCATTTCTGCAGAAATTCTTTCAGGGGTCTTTTGTTCATATAATTGGTTAGTTTTGCCAATGTTGCATACTCTACTAGTTTTTCTTTCCAGATCTCTACTGTAGGACAGTCTTCTGTCTTCCATTTCATTGCAAATATAACTCTGACTGCCGTCAACATATATCTAAGTAGGTCTTGTGAACTTCTGTCTACGTTATCTGGTAAGATTCCCATTAACATAATATCTGGTTTCATCAGGAATTTAGTCGGCCCTGCTTAGATCTGATGAAATCAGGCTAGGTTGGGGCTATCCAGGTCAGAGCCCCTCCTCTATATGACAAAATTAATCTCAGTAATAATCAGGAAATAAAACACATAAGAATAATGGCCAGAAAAGAAAGGCAGACAGTAGAAATGTTATTCTTTTTAACTATTTAACTCCACTTGCAGCTGCTGGATGACCTTGGACAAGCCATAGCTCTGTCAGCCCCACCTACCTCACAGGGTGTCTGTTGTGGGGAGGGGAAAGGAAAGGAGTTTGTAAACCACTCTGAGACTCCTAGTAAAGGGTGGGGTATAAATCCAATCTCTTCTTCTTCTTCTTCTTTGTATATATAATCATGCCAGTAAAAAAAAAAAATTGAAATTCCAACTCGCTATTCCATCACAAGAGCCAGTGTGGTGTAGTGATTAAAGTGTCGGACTAGGAGCTCGGAAATTCAGGTTCAAATCTCTACTTGTGCCATAGAAGCTTGCTGGGCGACCTTGGGACAGTCACATTACTTTCAGCCTAGCCCAGGACAGCCTGATCTTGTCAGAGCTCAGAAGCTAAGCAGTGCTCAAGTCCCTTGCCTTGAAAACACTACAGGGTCACTGTAAGATAGCAGTGACGACAGCAAAAAAATAAAAATCCATCCCACCACTTGTATTCTGAGCAGGCAGTTGGGAGGTCTTCTGTTCTCCATTTTGAAGCCAAGAGATGACCATCCCGAACATCTACAGGGCATTTTGGAGGGCTAGGAGCCTTTGTACTATCTTTTACTAACTAACACTAGCCAAAGCATCACAAAATAGTGATCGTAAGCTTCACCAGACTGGATGTTAAGAAACAAACCACCCCCCAAAGAAGGTGCTCCCGTCTTCCACTGTTTCCAAAGGACTAAAGTCAAAACAGAGACTCTCTGCAGTAGAAACAGAGAAGGGCCATTTTTGCAAGACCAGCAGACCCAGTGCAAAGTACAGTGCCCAGCGCCCAGCGAACCCAGTGCCTCCTGTTCATAATATTCACAAAGGCTTGCTACTCTACTACTCTTAATGACAGTCTGCCCCCAAGCAGGATAAGGCTGGCTTGTGGCATGGCCATAAATGGAGACTGTCTTAGGTCTGAGGGCTCTTCTTGTGGCCATGCAGAAGGAATACACTCCCCCTTCCTTTCCTAGATGCCAGTCCAGAAGCAGCACCTTAGAGAGCAACAAGATTTTCAGGGTATGAGCTTCCGAGAGTCAGAGCCCCCTTCGTCAGATACCAGATATCTAACAAATGTCTGATGAAGCAAGCTTTGACTCTCAAAAGCGCCTTTCCTGAAAATCTTTTTTCAATATTAGTTTAATAATATACCCCCCTAAGAAAGGAGAGAGAAAGGAGAGTCTTACCTATATCTCTCTAAACTCCAGAAAGATTTTTAAAAGTTCTGGACAGCAATAAAAAAATATGGGTAACTTTAGAAAGAGATTTTGAGGAGTGCAACATCAATTTGAATAATTTCATACCAGAATCTATATGCATTTTTAAAATGCAGGCACAAAACATTACAGCTCAGAGCAAGTCGAATAGAAAACCACAATTTCCCATGATGCCTGCAATACAACACTCACCGGCTGGGGGAAGAGCTTGGGGGTGGGGGACAGGTAAGAGCAATGTTCCCTCTAAGCTGATTTAGTGTGAGCTAGCTCACGGTTTTTGAGCCTCCGGCTCACACATTTTTATCTTAGCTCAGGAGGGATGGCTCCAGAGCAAACCAATTTATGCAGTAGCCAAATCACCTGCTCACAACTTTAATGCCAGTAGCTCACCAAGTAGAATTTTTGCTCACAAGACTCCATAGCTTAGAGGGAACATTGGTGGGAAGACAGCAAAGTCAAATAGCTCTTGACAGAGAAGACAGCTTATTTTCTGAACACAGCTTTGGTCGAGATGAACCCTTAACAGCTAGGGGGGCTACCTATATAGGTTTGCCCAAATGCTGTCTCCATTCCTGGCACAGCATCGCCTATGGCAAGTTGAACTGAGGACATGTTATAACTCTCATTTTTAATGATATTTTAAAAATCACATCAATTGTCATATAGCAAAATAGCCTTTCCAAAGGCTATCCGATCTTCCACCAGCACAATAATGATCAACGATCTGGTGCCTGAACTGGGAGTTGTAACTTCTGTTCCACATGTATAGCCACTAAAACAGATTAATGTTCCATGATCATGCATGTAACCAGTAGAGGAGGGAGGAAAGCATTCCTTTACTACTTTGTCAGATCATGGGGCAATATTCACTCTTCCCCACCTTCTGTTCATAATATTAACAAAGGTTTGTTACTATACTACTCTTAAGTACATTTTTCACCAAGCAGCATACGGATGAGAAGGCCTTGAGACCAAGAAGTGAAAATAAAGGGGGGGGGACAGAAAAAATAGGTAAAGGGAGACAGGAATGAGCACCTCTCAGCCTGATGTTGGCTCCCTTGTATGATCTCTTAAGCAAGTTCTGTTAAGCAAGCCCTGGAGATATGGGAGTCTATCTAGCCATCCTAGGTCAAGATGAGGAGCAGATCCTAGAGGACTTTTTTTGCTATGCTGAGATTCCCTGCGCCCCTAGTGGCAGCAGCCAAAACTGCAGTTTAAAAATAGACATTCGGCCGCGTGAGGCCAGCTTGAAGCACCCTCCAGCTAACTCCCTAAGGTTGCACTGGTGGCAGGCTGCACCCTGCACACTCCCCTTGGTACACCACTGCTGATAGCTCAGCATGAGCCATTCTTTATAGGTTTTTGTTAGTTCTGCTTATCATGTCTTACACTGAACTTTCCTTAATTAGATCTGATTCTATTTATATCTTACTCTGCCAGCTGTCTATTGTTGGGAGTGACCTGTACCCATTCTGAATGGATTGGTCATTGTTCCTGTTGGTAATGTCTCCCCCACTCTCACTCTCTGTGGCTCGGAATATTGAGTATAAATATATCTCCTATGGTCATATACTTTACACATCTGATGAAGTCAGATCTGACTAAAAAAAAATCTTATGCTGGAATAAATGTTGTCAGTCTTTATGGCATCATTGAAGTTCTCTTTAGTTTTGCTACTTTTATCTTAGTTATTGTTTAAAAAGCCCTGAAAGTTACTTCCATTTGCCTAAGAAAAGACAAGTTTGTTAGCAGGGCAATATTCGAATCTAGGGATGCCAGACCTTCTGGTGGGGGCGGGGGTCCCCTGGTTTCAAGTGCTCCTCTCCGTCACTGGCCTGGCCACTTGGCTGGCAGAGCGGCATTACCCCCCCCCAAAAAAAAACCCAGGAAAGAAGCTGAAAATAAACACAACATGCCTACATCACCCGGAAGTGACGTGGGCATGTCAGTGATGTTGGGGGGTGATGCTCTAGATTTTGAGCGACTTCTACCATAAAGGTTTTGCCCACAAACCAGAGCATCATCCCCGACAAGCTTCCATGACATCACTTCTGGGTGATGTAGGCACATCACATTTATTTCTGGCTTCTTCCCTCCTCACTCCCAGTAAGTTCACCCCCACCCCCCACCGGCTGGTCTGATGGACCTGGCAACCCTATTCGAATCAGAATTTCAAGTCTCACATGTAACCCCAGACAAAGTCTACATTAACATAGCTCTATACAGGTCATCCTGAGGTCAATCCTCAAAGAAATCAACCCTGACTGTTCCCTGGAAGGCCAGATAATGAAACTGAAACTCAAATACTTTGGCCACCAAATGAGAAGGGAGCACTCACTGGAAAAGACCCTGATGCTGGGAAAGATTGAAGGTCAAAGAAGACGGGGACGGCAAAGGATGAGATGGTTAGACAGTGTCAGCGATGCAACGAACATGAAATTGAGCCAACTTCGGAGGACGGCGGAAGACAGGAGAGCCTGGCGGGAGATTGTCCATGGGGTCGCGAAGAGTCGGACTCGACTGTGCGACTGAACAACAACAACATACAGGTCATGGTCTTCTACTCTAAAATCGACAAAAAGAATTCAAAGATTTTTCCAAACAAGTTCATTTGAGTCAGAGGTCCTGCTTGGAACTTTATCTTAAAAGGAAACAGTACAATCTTATCTCCTCTCTGCACGTTGAGCATTACAGAACAATTTCCAACCACTCTCAACAGGTGACTTTCTTTTGTCTGTGGCTGGTATGTAGCCATTGTTAAACAGTATGCCAGTATAATCAGTTTTACCTGTATGCTGTTTCAGTCCAAACATGAGTTCTGGCATGTTGGAAGCTCTTTGACTCTCAAGTGCATGACCCAATGAATCAGTCTTACCTTCTTATGGTTCTTAGTAGTGTTGACCTGGCTTCATTATGAAAGGTGATGATGATGCTAGTTGGTGGCAGATCCTTACGATAGTGCAAAGTAGTGCATCTGAAAGAGAGAGACAAAACAGATTACTGAAGCTACAGAAACTGAAGACACTGAAGCTACCTTATACCAAGTTGGACCAATGGTCTATCAGGGTCAGTATTGTCTACTTTGTCTAGCAGCAGCTTTCTCAGGTCTTAAGTAGAGGTCTGTTACATCACCTTCCTTTTAACTGGATTGAACCTGAGACCTCTTGCATGCAAAGCAGATGGTCTATTTATTTATTTATTATTAAACTTATATCCCACCCTCCCCACCGTGGCAGGCTCAGGGTGGCTAACAATTCATACATATAGATATATACATTAAAACTCCAAAATATACTAAAAACAGAATTAGGTTAAGATCACAATATAAAACCATAACTGCTCAGAACATAGCTGTAATAGAAGATGGCGGCATTCTTTCAGCATTCGAATAGTCGCCAACGCCATAGTCCAGGCTCCTGCCAGGCTGTCGGTCATCAGGATGGTGGTGCTGTTGGTGTTAGGGCCAGGGCCATGATGTTAAAGGCAGCCCCTACTTGAAAGCCTGGCAGAAGAGCTCCACTTTGCAGGCCTTGCAGAACTGCACAAGGTCCTGCAGAGCCCTGATATCATCCGGGAGCTCATTCCACCAGTAAGGGGCCACCACAGAGAAGGCCCTGGCCCTCGTTGCAGCAAGCCTGGCTTCCTTAGGGCCCGGGAGAACCAGGCGATTTTGGGATCCCAATCTTAGTGCTCTCTGGGGAACATGTGGGGAAAGGCGGTCCCTTAGGTACTTAGGTCCCTGACCATATAGGGCTTTAAAGGTAATAACCAGCACCTTGAACTGAATCTGGTATGCTATAGGCAGCCAGTGCAGTGCTTTAAGGGCGGGCTGGATGTGTTCCTGCACAGGAAGGCACAACAGCAGCCTCACTGCTGCATTCTGCACCAGCTGCAGCTTCCGGATTTGGGACGAGGGCAGCCCCATGTAGAGAGCATTGCAGTAATCCAATCTCGAGGTGACCATTGCATGGATCACTGTTGCCTGGTCATTGCATTCAAGGAAGGGAACCAACTGCCTAATCAGCCGGAGGCAGACTTTGCAGTGGCTGCTACCTGGGTCTCCATCATTAAGGAGGTGTCCAGGAGCATTCCCAAACTCCTAACTTCTGGTGCTGGCACTAATGGCGCCCCAGTGAAGGTCGGGAGAGGGATCCCTAACCTTGGGCTGTTCCGACTCAGGCACAGAACCTCCGTCTTCATCAGATTCAATTTCAGTCGACTCAGTCTAAGCCGACCAGCCATGGCTTTCAACGCCAGGTTCAGATCTCCTGGACTAGAGTCTGACTGGCCATCCAACAACAGGTAGAGCTGGGTGTCATCCGCATATTGGTGACAACCCAGTCCATGCCTCCAAGCAATCTGGGCAAAGGGGGCGCATATAGATGTTAAATAGCATTGGGGAGAGCACTGCTCCTTGGGGCCCTCCGTAATTTAGCGGGTGCCTTCTGGATAGCTGTTCCCCAACTGCCACCCTTTGTCCCCAACCCTGAAGGAACGAGGAGAGCCACTATAAGGCAAACCCCTGAAACCCAGTATCGGTGAGGCAGTGGAACACTGTTGACAGGTCCAACAACATCAACACCGCCATACTGCCTCAATCCAGATGCCTCCGGAGATCATCTGTGAGGGCGACCAGGGCTGTCTCTATCCCTCTTTAATTCAATAGATACTACCACTATGCCATGGTCCCTCTCTAATTCAATAGATTCCCTTTCTAAATTGAAGGTATTAGGTTAAAAACTAAAGATTGCCAGTGCAGTTTTAGAAGTTATCCATTGCTCAACTAAGGAATACATGGATGTATCCAACTACACAGTTCCTTCAACAGTTCCTCCATTTGTGGAAGTTGTTATTGTTCAGTCGCACATTCGAGTCCAAGTCTTTGCAACCTCATGGACCACATCATGCCAGGTCCTCCTGTCTTCCATCATGCTCCGGATTTTGTGGAAGAGGCAGGTTTATACACACAACCACCCTCCTAACCACACCTCACACACTGCTAATTGAGTCATTCCTTTCCACTTTTTCTCTGTCCAATCTAGCTGCTGATTCTTGCATTATTGTAAAAGGTGAATAAATTGCCACTCATTTGCAGAACTAACAGCATGAATGGAAAGCAAGCTTTTCATGAATTCTGAATGTGCAAACTAGACTTCCCTGACTTCCTCGCACCATGATGTGCACAGAGCTGTGGCATACCATTCAGTGGGCCAGAAGACCTTTGTAATCAAATTTTCAGGATTTTGCTTTTCATTATAGAAACAGGCCACCTTGAGGCCTTAAGATAAATTGGTTCCTTTTACAAAAGAGCATTCCTTTAAAAAAAAAATCACTTTTGATATGTTGTACTGGCTCATCTCCTTTACATCAGCATTACCTAAATGTTGCACCATGTATGGGCCATGAAGGGTTAGGATCCCCAATCTGTTCTAGTCTTTGTTCCATTGGCCCCAGTTTCTTCGATTGGAGGAAAGCCACTCATGAACACACAGCACTTCTGTCTCCTCAGTGTACCCATAGAATTAAGAGGAATGACATCTAAGAAGTAGCTGAACAACTGTAAAATGTACTCCAGCTAATCCAGAGGGAGAGAAGAGGATTCAACTAGGAAAACCTAGGGAAAGCCTGCAGCTATTCCTGTGTATGATGTCCAAGATGCTGCATTGGGCAGGGGGTTGGACTAGATGGTCTGTATGGCCCCTTCCAACGCTATGATTCTATAATTCTATTAAACAAATCCCACAGAGATCCCCCATGTCAAAGGGTTTGGAGGTCATTGCAAAAATCCAGCACTAGGGTTCCCAAATCGACCCAGGGGGCAGGGAATGCCCCGCTTTGATGGCCCGATTTTCGACGGGATGAAAATCGGGCCCGGGGGAAACCCCACCCCCGCGTGCGCGTCACCCGGAAGTGACGTCGCAAACTGGGGGTGGGGCCACGCCATTTGAGGGCGTGTGACGTCACTTCCGGGTGACGCGCGCACACATGACACAGATGCCGGCCGGGAGCCCCCAGCTCCCGGCCAAAAGACATTTGGCAACCCTATCCAGCACTGCCTTTTAATCTAAAACACACTAGTTTTAGAATTTAGGTCAGGTTTTCCATACTTGGTGAGGCTCCGAAGCTGCAAGGGGTTCACATGAAGCCCTCCATTTGTCTTTACATTCAGCCCTGAAGATAGCCATACTGGTGAAGGCTCAATGTATTGCAGGCTCTCTGTTCAGCTGACACAGATCACTTTACACAGATACACACTGCCTTTGAATGCAAGGATCCTGTTTTTTTACTATCATCATGACTAACAGTTATTGACCCCGCTGCCCATGAGCTTGTCTGTAACTTTTAAAATGGTCTCTTTGATTCGTGAAGAAATGCAATGTCCTTTTACTTCCGTTATCAGTGCATTTTCTCAGTTTAGCTACTAATGTCTTTTTCCTTCCTTTCTCTCTAAGATTATTTTTCATATCTATGACTATATTAGTGTCACCAGCTCAAGCCAGATGGCCCCTCCAAATGGTGCCATCTAACTCATCAGTTCATAACTCTAATTCCCTTTCTTGTTCCTTCTGTACCAGAAAAAAGACATTTTAGACAGTCAGGTTAAAAAAAAGGGAGGCTTGTGACTGAAAGAGGGAGATAGCAGAAGCTTTAGTAAGAGTATAAGAGGGAAACAGATTGGAAGCTTCCTAGTAACCTTCATTTATATCACCCACACGGGATGGTAGCCGTGTCTAGGCCCAGAGGCACAAGACAATTGAGTACTCAGTGGCAAGAAAGGGACCAACTCAATGAGGGGAACAAAGGAGGGCACCTTGTCCAAGGGACTCCCAAATTCTGGAGCTGGACTAGCCTATTAAGTTCACTGGAGTGCCTCTTCATTTACACACATGAGTGGAGAGAAGGCTCTGGCCACCCAGGTGACTTCCCAATCCAGGAGTCTTGTGCAGCTTTATGGGCCAGGTGCTTTCTTGGAAATTTTACATCTTTTGGAGCATCAGCCTCAAATACTCTTTTTTAATTGAACCAGCCGGTTCCATCGACATTGACTTCTGCAGGACATGAGGAATTGCTGTGCGTTTATTCTCATATTTGATTTATGTTGCACACGTTGGTTTAAAAATGTGTAAAGCAGGAGAAATGAAAGCAGACATCTCAGAGGAGGCCTCTAATTGTTTCCCCTTTTGTTCAGCTATAATCTGACACAAGAATGCACAGACAGGCAGCACGACATGCAGAGGGGTGAAAGAAAAAAGAAATTATAGGCAGAGCCGTAAAGTTTAGACACTGTCTTAGGTAAACCCTCTCAGTATCTAAGGGATTGCAATGACAGGTTTTGCTCAGATGTATTTTCAAAAAGGAGAACATCTTAACCGTCTCTAATACCAATAGTCACATTAAGAATTTTCATTAATCAACTTCCTTCTTAAAATATTTTATTCTATTCTACCTCTAGAAGTAGCCGTATTTTAGTACCTAATGGGAAGGCTTCGATGGGATTTAAGTCGCCTAGCGGGGTGAAGGAATACACAGTCCAGGTGAAGTTATCAAGGCTTGTCCAGAGTATGGGGGCTGACATTTTGTGCCCTCAGTTATCGTAGGTTTGGCTCTTCAGGGGAGGTTTTAGTTCTGCTACCTCTACTACTGCGGCAGCCATTTTCCCACCAGCTGAAAATACCAGTTCCCTTGGAATTCAATTAGATATACCATTAGTGGGTACAGAATGTTTTGAATACCCTTTGAGTGGATGTGATGCATGCTGACGTGGTCTTGCCTTGGTGCAGACCAACTCATAATTCAATCTGCATGCAATATGCCAACACCAGCAGTCAGCACATCTGGGCAATTATATATTAAATCTGAGTTTGTGGTACTCCCCCTTGTTTCAGACATGCTGCCCAGCTTTTGACTTGTTCACCTCTGCAGAGAGGGACCCACAAGGACTCAGCTTACATAGGGGAACAGGTTGTGTCACCT